TGGGAGAAGGAAAATTCTAGAGAGTGCCGCCATTGAATCTTACCCAAATACTAATCTATATCAATACGTTCGCTATCTCACTATACAAAAAACCTCTACTAAAATCTCCTGTCATCTCAATTATAATAGTAAATGTTGGCTCAGATATAATTTAGTGGTAACTGGAAAACTTTCTAGCGAGAATTCACGTGATCTCATTCCCTCTCTCTTTCATAAAGAAGTTAGTAACCTTAATAAAATCGTAATTAACAATGGCTTCGCAAACTACATTATAGACAGCCAAATCACATTATTTCTAAGTCTATATAAACGTCCGCAAATCTTTCGGTATTGAGTTATTAGGTTTAAAAGAAAGTCTACGGTAAATGGCGCTCTGTTGCTATGTAGACTAGGTTACATTTGTCGTTGGTGTAAATTTGTGGCGAAGAAGAGAGTAGATAACGATTGACATTGCATTTGAAATTTTGATATAAATGTTGACTGGAAAGTAACAGGATGAGTGAGTGAGCTCCACAAGCGAGTATTACAAGAGAAGAAACTGTTAGCTTAGAACCTACGGTTCCATCTAGCCATTCCGACAGTAAAATGATTCAAACACACACACACATACACACATATATACATATAGTTAAAAATCTGTGGGTAAATAATCCGAGTGAATCCTATTAATATAAAATATTAAAACTGATACACAAAAGAGAGCAGAATATATTATTATAGATCATAAAAATTACATAAAAATGAAACACAATTTTTTCAAATGTTTTAGTATTGACAAGCTCTAGGGAATTATATATATATATAAATAACATAAAAATGAAACACAATTGTACCCCATTTTTATGACCATTTCGGTCCTCGGCATAAATCCCCTGAAATTTGTCAATATGAAAACGTGATTTATTTTTTTCGTATTAACAAGCTCCTAGGAATTTATCCCGAGGGGCGGAATGGCCATAAAGATGGGGTACAATTATTTAGAACTATATATAAGGATACTTTAAAACTATATTTTTATATTTTTATCATATATATATATATATATATATATATATATATAGCGTGTTTGCTACGAATAAATTGTCATCTAAATTGTGCAATGCTGAAAATAACACTGACATCTCATTTTGATAGATATGTTTTCCAAAATTACGCAAAAATATCTTGACATATTACAGAATAAATATATATAATAATGTCGCCATTGGCTTCAATCACCGACTCCAGGCGACTTCGGAATCTCCTGCATCTCTTCTGGACGGTCTCCTTGTTTAAGTTGGTGAATTCTGCCATTATCTTTCCCTTCAGTTCATCTTTGGTGTTACACGGATTTTTGTTAGTCTCTTGCTCAACATACTTAGTAATGAAAGGCTTGCATTCTGCTGAGTTAGGTGGCCAGATGCAAAGGGTGATGTGGTCGTAGAAATTACCTGATAGACATGGCTGGATTCTCCTGCTTGTGTGGCATAGTGCAGAATACTGTTGCCAGACATAGGATCTTCCAGAAATCACTGTCTTGACCTAGGTCAGCACTACCTCCTCAAGGCATTAATGTAGGCTTCCGTGTTGAGTTTGAGGCCATCACCAACAATTATCAGAATGATCAGAGTGACTTTTCCGAGCTGCTGTGCCTTCGTAATCACCATTGAACTCATCCGACTCTTTCTGAATCCTCTACATTGTCTTCAGATTGGCACCCAAACATTCGGAAATGTTTGTATTAGAGCTTCCGGTGCGAATGCCAGGCAGTACAGCATACCGTTTCCAAATTTCTGATAGAGTGAATTGCGTCATGGTGCACTTTTTCTAAGAGACGGTGCCCAACTGACCCTACTACACTTTCCAGTCGACAAAATCAAAACAAGCAAAACGAATGAGCTAAATTAAATATATAAACCGACAACAATTTACCTATCGCACTCGTGTACATATATATATATATATATTGTGTATTTTTTTATATATATATATATATATATATATATATATATATATATATATATATATATATATATAATACAATCTATGTGTGTGATACTGATAATTAGGATTGCAGTGAGAGTCTCTGGTACTTCAACGCCTCTTACAGTGGAATTGCTATGGGATATGGATAAAGAAAGATATCGTTCTAAGTAGTTTCTCTATGCAATTTGGTCAAAGGAAAAAGAGTAGCGCACAATCCGAAATTGAGGTATAAAGATGCAGCAGACCAGCATATCATGCCCAGTATGACTTGGAAAATTTCATTCTTGATCGCTTATCCTGGACATTGCATAATGGCAGGAGAGACTTTCAGCCGGATCGAGTTAAGCACGACGCACTCAGTAGAGACGCCTGTAAAGGTCATGATGTTAATTTTCTTGAGTATGTTTGCACAGAATTTGATCCAACATATAATGGATGTGATTGCATCAGTCTAAGTAGGGCAGGCCTAAAAAATCCTCAAAGACACAAGATACACAGAATAGTCATTCACGACACGTTGTGCTTCATTTCTACTTGCAGAGAATGTTAAAAAAAATGAATGTGCCAAAGTTGGCGAGCTGAAATGTAATATGAAATTTCACGAAAACATTAATGCAACAAATACTGCAAACGACACGCAACGTTGCCTCATATGCGCATGAGAATGTAAGACCCTTGCAAGGCTTAAAAGCCACATTCTCACTTCCTATATTCAATAATAGATCAAAGCTATGTCTTTTTTTCAAAATCGAGTCACAGCCATAATAGGTTAGAAACATGAAAAAATAATGGAAGATTGAGGCACCATAACCTGACGTCATGAAAATACTTGTATAATTCATAGAAATATCCGAAAATTGATAATCTGGTAACACCGGCTAGAATTATTATGGTCAGGCAACGTAAGTTACTGAGATTTGGACCGGACATTGGTTGCCAGATGGGGCGTTCCATTTTTTAATTTATGGGGAATTTTGACATCTTTCGATTTGTAGTTTCACGTATGTACAAGGAATATCTGATTGTGGGATTGTGGAGAATTCAATGGTAAAACGCAGGTCATTATTGATAATGACCTTATATGTATGAATAGAGTTTCCTCCCTAAATGTAACTATCATATTAAATGCATTGAGTAACCAATCAGATTTCATGGACCGTGGCAGACGACAGGGTTTGAATTCATTAGTTCGAATTCTGATTGGCTGACTTTAAAGTTCCATGTCACATTTCAAAACATTTTTTTTATGTGCTACAGTTGATCATGCCTGTTCCAGGAAAGCCATTCTCATCTAAAATTGTCATCTGAATTTTAAAATGGCCTCTGGGCAAGTGTTTTTTACGTCATTGGAAGTGTCGTTCTTCTTTCTGGAGGAAAATCAATTCGTTAACAGGACAAAAGAAATATTCCAAAGAATATATTTTTTAGACTTGACCAAAGATGACACGACAATAAAACGAGCTGTGATTTGCGCTGGCATCTTGTCACTTACCATTATTCTGCCAATCAGGAAGATATTCCTTTGGAAATATAAAGTGCATCACTTAGTCGATATTGATGTAAGTTGTCCTCCCGGGAATTTTCAATACAGGCGTAGTAATTTTTGATTTTGAGGGCGCCTGTCATTATTCGATTGTCAGCAAGTTATTTTATACAACATCTGATATTTCGCTGAGCTTAACCTTCCATAATTTACTGTGGCGTTGTACCTGATTAGATTTGTTAAATATAAGTTGCTAAAACCTACCGTAGAGCCATAGTTAGCAAACTAATATTACAGGCTTTGTTGTATTGTAATGAGATCAATCCTTATTAAATACTTCAGGTTTGTGGCTTGTTTCGAACTAAATAGCTACACATAAGGATCATAGGTCTGCCTGCATTGTATAAATGTATCCCGAATGATGCAAAATTGAAGATCGAACTTTCAAAATATATTAAAATCCGCACACACAGACGCACACACGCACACATTGTAGAGTAAATAGCCATGTTTCAATGTAATATATATATATATATATATATATATATATATATGTGTGTGTGTGTGTGTGTGCGCGCGCAAATATATAGAAAAATAGGAAAGAACACGTTAGGTAAATAAACCGGAAGTTCTTTACTATTTGTGTTTTTATTTTTAAAAAACAGGGCTCAATACAAAAGTAGAGCCTAAAATTATTATTTTTTTGAAATTGAAGGTTTAACCCTGTTCTTGAAACATAAGAACTCATATGTAGCGAAGGAAGAATCCTATTTTTTAAAAATAGTTATATATATATATATATATATATATATATATATATATATATATATATATAAACAATTGATAAAATGTGCGTTGCCCAATAACACAGTACGGCACGGGCATTATGAATTTTTTATAAAGTTTAACTTAATGCAGAAACTCATAAGACACTCGATTTAGTATATAAATAGCTAATAATTTATCTAAGTTTGGCTCCCAATTTGTTCTCAAAGATTTTGTTACTCTGCTGGGTTTGGAAATTGTACCCGTTTTGGGATGGCAGAGTTCGAAATCAAATTCTCTCTTTCGGGTTCGACCGGTCGATTTGTGAGGCACTGGCGTCGGACATCTGGCAGGCTGACATTCATAGCAGCCGCCATAATGGCTCCGATTTCCTTTGACAAAAGGATATGAATAGTTTTGAAGGAAGGAAAAGAATAAATTCCCCCGTCGAGCGCTGGAGAAGGATTGGTGAAAAAGATAAGCGGCGTCAATGCTCGACGTAATTCTTGTTCGTCTTCACACAATTTGGTACATTGCCAAAGGAGAGAAGAAAAAACAGAAAATTATCCTTGCTTATTCTGAGCAAACTTTATATATATATATATATATATATATATATATATATATATATATATATATATATAGAGAGAGAGAGAGAGAGAGATAGTTCTAACATATTCATATTTGCCTGGATATATCAACTTAAGTGTTTCGCTATCTATCTTTCTGTCTTAGTAGGTTCATTTTGTATGTATACATGTATGTAACTATCTCTTTCAGTTAGTGCATGCCACTCTCTGTTTATCTTGTTGTCTCTTCATATCTATCTATCTATCTATCTATCTATCTATCTATCTATCTATCTACCTCTTTCAGTCAGTTCATGTATCTATCTATCTATCTATCTCAGTCGGTTCATGTCTCTTTCTATCTCTTTCGGTCAGTTCATGTCTATCCCTTTCAGTCAGTGCATATATCTATCTATCTATCTATCTATCTATCTATCTATCTATCTATCTATCTCTTTCAGTCATTTCATGTCTCTATCTATCTCTTTCAGTTATTTTATATTTCTATCTCTCTCAGTCTCTTCATATCTATCTATTTCTTTCAGTCTCTTCATATATATATATATATATATATATATATATATATATATATATATATATCAGTCTCTACTTATCTATCTATCTATCTCCGTTTGTTCTTGTTAACCTATAAAACTTAGGTCTATACGCAATTCACATCAAAGCTTAACAATATATATTTGTTTATATTTGTATGAACATTGGCTTAAATGTTTTTGCTTCCAGCTCAAAGATGTGCTGACCTGAATCGATGTTCTTGCATGTAAAGAATTCACTCTCATTGACACATGTACTCTTCGTCTCTTCAAATCTTGGATCTTGAGATTTTATGTTAGTGTCTGTTTATTTCTTTCTTTCAGATACTTACTAATATATATAGAGAGAAATAGAAACACACTTTCCAACTGACATGTTTGACAAGCTGCAGATGAATATTTCGTTTAGTTGAAGTTTCCAGTCTAAGATCATGCGTCACCCATTAAAATATTTGCACCAGTTTTTTTTTTCTTTCTTTTTTCATATCTTATGTCACTTCTCAGGTAAAAAGTGCATTCTATTATAAATGAACATTTCCTTTACACTATTTATATCCGTTGTTGTTGTTGTCACGATATTTCGGCTGTTTTACCTCCGGCCTTCTCCAGGTGTATATCGATCTGGATAACTTACAGGGAATTTTGAACGAAATCCTTTATTTGATCTACAAAGGTAGGAACAAGTTCAGTCAAAACATGATAGGCGGCAGCAGCGGTAGTTGCAACCTAATCAGCAATTAGGTTAGTTTTAAGGTTTGACAGTTTTAAGTTCACTACGGCAAATTGTCCTATGGGACAATGGATTAATGGATAAAAACGTTGTTTCGTGAATTTGGTAGCATAGTGGTTGTGAGTTTAATCTGTGGGTCGGATTGTGTGTAATTAAACGGGTGAACATCACTTAATCAAAGTAAGACCGATATCCCTAAAAATGAGCAGTGGAACGAGAACTGTCTAACTCTGTAGAAAAATAAAGGGTTCAGTTCAGAATTTCCTATTGGTTATCTATATCGATATATGCCCGAGGAAAGTAATGATAACTACTTATCCCAGAAAAATCTTCTTTTTTTTTTCGATATAGTGAATTGGTCAGACACACAGTGTTACCATTTTCCACTTTATGGAAGATGCCACGAAAAAAAAAAAACAAAGAAAAACATTGCTTTCGTAATCTATTGCTCTAACCTGTCATTCAAACAAGACAGTTGATCACCGTTGACAAAAAAATTGTTTCGAAATGACAACAAAGCGAATTCCTATTGCGAAACACAGCGATCTAGTAGATGTCATTTAGGTTGAGATGTTGAATGTTTTATGGAATGATTGATGATGCAGATTCCATTAATAAATTCATTTTCTTCTTTCCTCTCTCCATCCAGAAAAGAAAAATAAATGTCTAGAAGGCATATACATTGTCGCTATCGTTGTTATGTGTTTGTTAGCTCATTCTGATATTTGTGAAACGTTGCACGTCGAATTCAACTCATCGTTTTACTGTTGCAATAGATGAATGTAAACAAGAGTTCTATTCTAAGAATTTCTTTTCATACCCGTGGAATTCTCATCAGGTTTCTTGCTTTTCTTTGTCAACTACAATCTTTATAAATTTAAATGCAACACCAATCGCCATCTTCTGTCGTCCTGAATCCTATTCTTTAATTCTCCTTTCTCCTCACTAAATTCTTCTCATTATCTTTCACTCTCAGTAACCCATTGCGTCGTAGTGGTATTATCGCCATGTTCTGTCTTCACATGTAAGGATATATTTAGAGGAAAAGGCGTGCGAAAAGCGAAGAAAAGAAATAACCTTCAGCTCTACGAATTTAATTTATTTTTTATTATTGAGTATAAAAGCAATCTTTGTTTTCTTTAAGTTGATAGAAACGAAGAAACGCGTTACAAATTCCACGCAATCAAAGTTCAATGAAACAACACAACAGAAATGAATTGCGTTACTATGAGGGAAAATCTATACAGGGTTTATCAAAAATACTTTCACAAACTCCGGGAGTGAGTTCATCACAAAAAAAAAAAAAAATGGAAAAAAATGCCATATAAACATATGTCGGCAAATCCTTATTTTTTGAGTTATTAAATTTAAAAAAGTTGACGGTAGATGGCGCTGCTGTGTTGGCATGTATACTAGATTACATTTGTTATTCGTGTCAATTTGTGTCTAGTCTGTCTTCAACGTTTAACGCTTGTAGTAGTGAGTTACCTGAGAAGTGTTCCGTTTAACAATGGTGGGTTATTCATATCGGGAGCAGGCAGATATTTCTACATACGGCCGCGCGAATGGTAATGGACGCGAGGCTGTATGAGATTGCGTTCCCAGATTGAAGGCAAACGAGTCATATGACCTTCGCGGCTGTATATTGTCGCGGTGCTGAGACAAGATCTGTGGCATTACAAACTATGTTAATAAGTATTTTGCAGTTGTATCTTGATTTGTACATTTAAAAGTGTCGTTAAACATAATAACTCAAAAACGAAGAATTTGCGGACATATGTTTATATGGACTTTTGTCCTTGTTTTGGTGAGAGAAACCCGCCCCAAAGACTATAAATGTATTTTTGATACACCTTCTATAATGTTAGTTGCATATTTGCGTTGTTTTATTTATGCATGTAATGCCTTGCGTTATCATAGCTGCAGGTCAGGCTAATGTTTGGCCTTATTTATTCTATTACTTCGTAGTAATAGAATAAATGAGGCCAAACATTTGTTTACATATCTCCGATTGCATGTGTCCTTGTGTTGTATAATTTACTTTAACGAGAAGAATTTCGTTACTCAATAATTATACCAAAGTTTGAGTCATCAATTATACTTGAGAAAGCAGCATTACACGCACTTGTCAATGGTTAAAAGAAAAATTGAAATTTGTGAATTTACACGACGATATTTGTAAGAAAAATTCGGATCAAAAAGTTAACATTTAGATTTACTAAACTCATAAGTTTATTGGTTAATAAAAATATTACCCAATTTTTTAATATCTATTTTTAAGGGGGAAAATATTGTTAATCATTTTCTAGAGTGAATGCCAGAAAATTGTAGCGCAAAAAGAATATTGTCGTCTGATTTTTGAAAGCAGAAATAGCGTTTAGTACGACGTCGCTGATTGGTTAATAAATGCTAATGTGAACACTTGAATTTGGAGCCTATGTTTTGCACAAAAAAATGAGACGATTTCTGCGTAACCCTTTTTCTTGCACAGAATTTTAGTAACCCTACTTAAATCTATTGAATTTCTATACGATTTAAAACGGGATTCCACATACATGTATCAGAAAAGACTGCAAAATACTCGCAAGCTAGTTATTTGCTGAGGAATATAAAATTGTTTTGTGAGGGTGGATTAAGGTGCTGAATGCTCAATATCAGGAACAGAGTTTATATGGTGTCTGTTCCATGTCCTCATGGATTTCCTTGAGTGTCATACCTTTCTTTGGCAGATGCTTTATGACTGCTCGGGCTTCTGCTTTTTCCATTTTTAGATTTGTCAACACCTTCTCACCTTTGTACGAGTCTCACCTGCACAGAAATTAACACAGAAATTTGAATTAAGTTTTCTAGTTTTATAAGAAATGGTAGTGTGTTGCCACAACAAAAATGATTAGCTGTGGCTCTTCTTCCTGTGTGAAGATTAGAACTTTTTGAACGACATTCGTCAGTCAAACCATATTTGAAGAGCTGTAGGTGGCTGAGTTTTGAATTCAAGCGTGCCTTTCTTAGACTGGTTGCCAACCACGGTTACAGAGCTCAGTCTGCTCTTCTATTTAACCCATAGCTAGGGGAGAAGAGATGGATTTTTGCCTTTCACAAGAGTATTTGTATAAAACTGTGAGGAATTCCACTAGTACTTGAACTCGTGACGCCAATTTCTTCTTCAGAGTCGCTAACCACTGTACTAACTGCATATCCTGGTTACCATATAAATTCAAGTATATCTGTAAAATTTAACATATACTATAAAAAAATTAATTGTGTGAATTTTGTTTAGATTCTTGAAGTGACACAAATGACATTGATTTGGTCAAATGCCCTTTGGTGTCGTGGCTGCTTTTGGCATAGCGATTGAAACCGATTGTGTTTTTTTGACAGACATCGTATCTGAAAGCCATGTCAAACCATCGTTGTACATGTTCGGGTAGCTGCGTTTTGAATTCAGATTTTTTCTTCTCCAAGACGGGTTGACAGTCACGACCAGAGAGCTTAATCTGCTCTGCTATTTTATCCCTATCTGGGTTGAGTGAAGAAACATTCAACCTTTTCCAAGGGTCTGGTGCGAAAGTGAATGCAATGAACTCGAATGGAATTCGAACTCCGTTTCCCCAATGTTTGTCTTTCCAAGCCGTTAATCATTCCACTAGCAGCACATTCTTGAAAATCCCTTCCTGTTACAGGAAAGGATAATATGGAATTGTTAAGTCATTGGTGGAAGTTTTCTACTCTTTTGTACTTGACAGTGGAAAGCATCTGCCACTGTCTACGGATCAATTTTGCCTGGAAGAATTTGTGCAAAGAGAGGTTCTAACAAGGGGAGGTATTCAACAAAACAACTGAGGTTGCATTAAAAGGAGAAGAATTGCAAGTTTTGTACCCATATGTTCTGTTTTTTTCTTTTGTTAAGTAAATTTTTACAAGTGACCGATTTTATATTGCGTCGGTGTTGTTAATTTGAATATGACAAATTTCGCAGCATTTTCGGATACTGGATTTTTTACAAACTCTACGTTACGTTCAGTTTTGCAAAGCAATCGATGAAATTTTAATAAGTTGATTTGTTTGGAAAAATATTTTGACAAAACCCCTACTTCGCGGTTTAATAATTTCTTTAATTCAATAGGGCTTCATGATAAACATTATTTTTTAAAGAAAAATTCTTTTTTCCTTTTTAACAGCAAAGAGTAAATTTTTAAAATCTTTTAATCTTTAATTCATTATTACTTTTTTTATTAAATAAGTATTTGTTATTTTAATCATTGAATTGTTTTTTTTAAAATAGTGGAAATATTTTGTATGCTAATTAATAAAACTTCTAATTTTTCCCCAAAACTTAATGAAAATGTATTGTACTAAGTTACGCACCTGAGTAAAACCAACTGTACTTTGCACCCACTGACCAAATTATGGTTTCGTTCGCTTAATGTATGGCTATTTTAAAGGGTGTGTGAGGTGGATGGACAGACTGAGGGAAGTAACAGAATTATATATATAGAAAAAGCCGAAGTTAATACTGAAAAAAAATTCTTTCATAATTGTTGAGGATTGATGATTTCTTTTTGTTGTTGAAAGATTTTAATCCCAAAATAATCCGAAAAATCATGACTAAAAAGTTAAATCCGCAAAAAGACTAAAAAAGCTATAATTCAGGTTGGCTATACCTCTGTTTTTAAGAATTTTTTTTTTTTTTTGCTCTTTACTTGATTAAAATATTAGTTCCAGTATCTTTATGTTTATTGCTTTTTCTCATTTCTTTTTATGTTCAACGCTCATCTTTTTGTAAATACTGATTTCTCTTCTTCAATATCACTTTCAACATGAAACTATTTTCTTTGAAAATTTAAAACACTTTCACTCGTTGTTTAACACGGAAAACAGTAAAAATGGTGTGCCTAAATATATTTTTTTTTAAATCAGATATTCATCACGAAATTCTGAAAATTACTAAAATAACAAAAGCCGTAAACCAGTTTTTTTTGTTGTTTTTCATCGATCTCTCGACCACGAGTTGAATTTGCAATTAGAGGCATTTAAAATAGACACGAAAACGACTACAAGTTTATTATATAATTGAAAGTTTTGGATCTATAAAGTCTTTTCTAACACACTAATACAGTTGGCAAATCCTGATAGAAAGAAACAAACCAAAACAAATATTTTGTGATAATTTTTTATATCTGTTACAATTACAGGAGTTCAAGAAACACCAATACATAGGGTGTGGTGCATGCATGACCCCCCCCCCTCGCCCAATAGACAGATTCTTCGAAATCGCTGCTCCTGCTGCTTTTTTTTGTACTACGTTCGCATACTGCCATTTTTTCTTTTAGCTTTTATAAGCTGAACAAAGAATAATACTAATCAAAACTAACAATCACAGAATAACATAAATGTAACCTTTGCTCAAAAGACACAGAGGAAAATTTGCTCGGTATGATGAGGTGCTTTACGAAATATATCAGTTTATTTGGGGGTCAGCAATGTGGTGGAAGGAACGGGATAACAAAACTTATTTAACAACATCAACAGTTTAGAAGAATATAATCACTGATGAGAATAAATCGGTCGGATTTCATTCATGTGAACCGGAAACCGGAAGAAATGGGATAAAGAAATCGGACATCTTTAAAAAATAAGCAAGAGAAGATAACATTTTGTCGACATTAAAACAGAACATTCCAAGTTAGAAATATATGCTGCTATATATATATATATATATATATATATATATATATAATAAAAAATATACTTTAACAGTGTGCTATATATATTTTTTTTATTCTAGTTTAATTAAAAAGAACCGACAAGGTCTCTATGTTTACTTTTTTTATGCAGGCAGTATAAAGTTTTGTTATTTTTATTATTCTTTTATGCAGACTGACCACCTGTTTGATTCTTTTTAATAACACTTATATATATATATATATATATATATATATATATATATATATATATATATATATATATATATGGCACTTGTATATAACTTATATATATATTTATAACATTTGTATATATATATATATATATATATATATATATATATAGCACTTGCATATAACTTATATATACTTATAACATTTATATATATATATATATATATATATATATATATATATATATATATATTGAACAATAAAAAATATTAAAAAATTAAAATCTTCAGACACACTGGGTTGTAGATTAATATTCTTTTGTTTTTTTATGATTATTTCATTTAGATTCCTCGACTAGTTTCGGCCAAAATAGCCATCATCAGGAGAAGAAATATTTCTGCAAATGAATGTCTTGATGGAGAAAATGAACTTTTGTCTGTAATTTTCATTTGTATTTTTATTTTTTTATCTTTTTAACATGAATCTTTTAACATTCCTTGTGTTGGTCAAACAGTCTCTTTTAAGTTGTTATTTGAGATAAGAGCTGCATGGATCCATGCTGCTCGGCATTCCCTGGTCAATTTGACAGTTTTATTGGTCCTGGAGAGGAGATGTGTCTCTGTTAAGTGTTTGTGTGTGTGTTATTTGGTTCTTAGGGAGTGAGTGAGTATGATATGTGTAAGTGTGTATGTTTATGTGGGTGTGTGTATAAGTGTGAGGCATCAACACCTCCGTAAGTATGTCTGTCTTGTGTGTGTGAGAAATGTGGGTAGGTTTTGATTTGTAGTGTTATATATATATATATATATATATATATATATAAATTGATCATGCGTTTGTAAGTAGCTGGGTTGGCATGATAACCCTCTTTACCTTAGATTTTCGTTTTGATAATGCTCTGGTGAAACAAAAATCCAACTGGTTTTCACGTATTCCATCTTAATTTGTTCGGCTAATTCATATGACTCATTTATTATATATATAAAAAATGCAATATCATAATAGTCAGATACATATATGTAATATAAAGATAATATATAATAATTAATATACAATATATACATAATCTATAGTTACATATATATGTTTTGATATATATTTCATGTTTTATAAGTTTATTATCTTCATGGCGACATCAGATAAAGAACAATATTAAATTTACAATCCTGTTGGTTTCATTTCTTAATAATAAAATATATTGCACCCTAAGAATAGAAATTAATAAGTTTTTTTGTCGTTAGACTTTTTCCTTCTTGTTCGTTTCATATTCCCCATCTTATATTATTCTATTTAATACACCAGATACCATTTAATACACCAGATACCATATAATGCACCACATACCATTTAACAATGGCTTGTATTACATTGATTTGTTTTGCTTATAAGCACTTGAGGTCATTTTTTTCAAACAAGTTCAAACCTGTATTAAAACAATTAGCAGTTTCAAATTTTCTCTTCATTATAACATAAGCGATTTCAGAAAGTCCTTTTCAATGCAAAATCTCTTTGCATCGAAACAATCGTTGAATAAAGTCAGAAAATTCTCGTAATGTCCTTCTCGTCATTATCATTCTTGGTATATCTTTATAGTAATAGCATTCTCAGCATTCATTCTTGTCATGTCGTTCTTGGTATGTCTATACAGTAATATCATTCTCGTAATGTCATTCCCGGCATGCCATTCTCGTAATGTCATTCCCGGCATGCCATTCTCGTAATGTCCTTCTATACTTTTTAATCTACTAATGTCATTCTCAGCATTCATTCTTGTCATGTCATTCTTGGTATGTCTATACAGTAATACCATTCTCGTAATGTCATTCCCGGTATGCCATTCTCGTAATGTCCTTCTATACTTAGTAATTCATACTTTGAACGAAACACAGATTTTTTAATGTTATTTAAAGCAAAAAAAAAAAAAATTCTAAGAAATGCATTCAGAAATACGCTATTAAATCATTTTAATATGTGGGGAGGAATTCTTTTAAAATAAAACCTTCGGATAAAACTTCCAGGATTTAATATATGGAAAAAGTTTATTCGTAGTTGGGTAAATTTCGTATCTCGTTCATGGTGTAATATTCACAAGTCTTACAACTTTATCAGAAATTGATTTATGAATTTCGAACGTTGGACATTTGCGTTTCTTATAAATCTCGACATTCAACAAAAAATAAAAGTAATAAATTCTAAGAATGTTTCTTGTTTTATGAAACATACAAGACACCCGGTCATTTATCAGCGATTCCAGCGAGATTTGCAAACGGGAATTGATTTATTGAACCAATGAGATTCATGACGTATGAATTTCTCATTTGAACGCATTTAAATTTCAAGATAAAAATTCTCAATAAATAACCTAGTTTCAAATCCGTCTATGAATTAAAAATAATAATAAACTAGAAAAATACAAGAAACAAAAAAATGATCAGATATGGCGTAAGTCGACCGAACTAAAAGAAAAAAAATATCTTTAAATGCTTTGAAGATTTATATTTTCGCCTCACTCCAGCTTTTTTTCTATCTTCATTTACTGAAGAAACGTTTTAGTTTGACCAATAAAAACTAAAACCTCAAAACAAGAACTCAAAATTATACAATTCTTTGTACTTCTAAATTTTAAATTAATATTAACCTGTTTCTATATGTCTACTATCTCTAACATGTTCCAGGGTGCTTGCAAAATCTTGACAAGACATCTAGTTTTAATTGCAGAGAGTAAATCTCTGTCGAAAGAAAGAAGAATTCATATTTATCAACAAGACGATGAGGCTACGAAGCACCAAATTGAGGAAGAAAAAATTAGTAAAATAAAAACTATAATCGGGAAATAAAAATGATTTTCCAAGAGTTAAATGGATAAAAAAATCGAGGCAAAAAATCACACAACCTTTTATATTCAGAAAACATTGCCGCCATCAGCGAATTAAGTTATTACAAGCAACAGCGATTCATTTTCAATTGCAAAACGTCAAAAAAAAAAAATCTTCCAACATTAAATTTATTGGTATCTAAACATCAATCTTAATGTTGAATATGAATTTTTCAACTATTGTTTATAATTCTGTACTTTTTAACACAAAATTTTGGCTGATACACTCTTCGGCTTTCCTCAAGTCTGTTGTATCCGGTCTTTAGAAGTTGTTTTATAACTTTTCCACTTGTGGCTTTTCAAGCAGAACTCCAAACTCTGGGAGAATCACAAGACTGAGTGGTAAGATTTCGTGTTCATAATATCCGAGTGAGAAAAAGAATATTGGTATCATTGCCCTGTAGGAAAAAAAAAATAGAATTCATAGAATTGCAGTTCTTCAAATTTGCTCGAATCGATCCCTGGTACGGGAAGAGACTTAAGTAGTAAAATAAGTTTTTTTTTGTTCTTTAGTATGACGCTGAATTCTATTTTTTCTGTACTCATTATTTAATATTTTCATTTGGGCTGCTTCATTCACCGATTTTGGTTAGTCTGTGTTTATTATTTCACAAAAAAAGGTATGTCACCTTCTTTCTCTCCTATACATGACCTGCTATACCAGATTTTGTTGTTCCACCTTGACTTATAGCTTTCCGTTGTTCCTCTGGAGGCGACTGGTTTCTCCCTTCATGGGACGTTATATACGCAGTTTTTATTCTATTTGTCTCCTGTATAATACTGAGCATTGCGAAGAAGTTGTGTAGTGCAGCTTTCACATGAAAGGCTACGCAGATCTCTATTGTGTCTTCAGATCCTTTGGATCTCTTCGGCGACTTTTCTTGTATAATGTAGGGACGCTGAAAAGGAAAAAGAAGAAAGTACTAAGCGAATCCTAATGACCGGATACAACATACACCTGAGAAAGACCGAAGAAGATATCGGCCGAAATATCGTTTTAAAAACAGTAAAGATGAAGACAATATTCCAAAGCATAAAAGATAATGAAGAAAACCTTTAAGAATTGAAAAAAAAACGGCGATGATTTTAAATTATATTTAAATATAATCTTAAATAATATTTAAATATTTTAAATAATATTTAAATAAGATTTTACGTAATATTTAAATATGATTTTAAATCATATTTATATATAATTTTAAATAATATTTAAATAGGATTTTAAATAATATTTAAATAGGATTTTAAATCATATTTAAATATAATCTTAAATAATATTTAAATATTCTAAAAAATTTAAATACGATTTTAAATCATATTTAAATATGATTTTAAATCATATTTAAATATGATCTTAAATAATATTTAAATATGATTTTAAATAATATTCCTGTGTAAAATACAGTCATAATTAATACATTATCAAAGTAATTAAATTGTGCTAACAATGTTTCCATTCATATCTGTCTGTTCGTCTATATAGTAAATTAATTGATATAACAATTGCTTCCAAGACAAGGAAAGTAATCAGAAAATGAAATTCTGTCAGTTAATCCTAAATATTCTAACAGTCAAAAAG